ACGGGCCGGAGCTGGCTCAGGCAGAGCAGCTGTGGAGGGACTGGGGGAGCAGTGAGGGTTGCAGGGCTCATGCAGAACCCCCCATGCAGTGTGGGGCAGTAGGGATCGCCCCCCACCCAGCAGCACCTGCTGAGCTGGGGCTTTTTTCCCCCCTCACCAATGCCAGGAGCTGGGGTGGGCAGGGCAGCCATTGCCAGGCTGGGAGAGGGATGGGGGATGGGCCTGGCCTGGCTGCTGCTGAATTGCCAAATCTGATTTGGCCAAATCGATTTGGGACAGTGATTGGAATCACCAAATCGAATCACTATCCCCCAAATCGGCCAAAACCAAATCCAAAGCAAATACTAGCTGCTTCACACAGGCCTAGTGCTCAGCCATCGCATGCAGCTCCTGACTGGCTTTGTACCATCTGCTTGATCATGCCCCCTTTTGGGGTTTTTTGTGGGCATTAAAGGGTTGGGTTACAGTACAGAATGCACTGGAAATTACAGCACTCTGACCAAGGAACAGACTGTACTTGATGGCTGTTCCCAAACTCACACCCGCCAAGCATCCCCCTTGACCATGTTGACCTGCGCTCCTGCCCAGAACAAAAGTGGAAAAAATCCTAAACAACCCAAAACACTGCCTTACTATGAAGCAAATTGTCAGTTTCTACAGTTTACAGATAGCAGGTCCCCATTATGGCCTGGGCTGTTAATTGCTTAGAATGGTCCAAGCTGCTACTTCTAGACCACTGGTACGCTACATCAGAGGCATCACATTTTCCCAGAGACCCACAAATTAGGTACGAGGTGGTATCCTGACATTTCATTGCTATATTGTGTCTCTAGTGGGTTGTGGAATAGAGAAAATCCCACACAATTTACTGATTCGTTTTGATGCACTGGCTGGGGGAGTAGTTAGCTGATTGCATGATTTCACAATGATTACACACTTAATTCATACAACACAATTTTATTTTAAAACTCTTTGCTACGTATATAACACTGCTTAGCTTTAAGAAACACCACAAACATTAAGAACACAATAACTACATATATCAGAAACAATGCTCCGAATGCACTTCCTTCCCAAACAATGCTATAAGAATTAGTGTTACAAAAACAACTACAATCACAACTAAAAGTTAAATTTGAATCAATACTGTTATTTTTCATAATATACTTACAATCCTAGAATTCCGAGAAGCCAAATACCAAAATATGGTTTCATTCCTCAGTAGTACAATTTAATGGGTTGGCCTCAGTAGTACGGTTCAATGGGCTCGCCTCAGCAATACGATTCAATGAGCTCGCCTCAGTAGTACGGTTCAATAGGCTGGCCTCAGCAATACGATTCAATGAGCTGGGCTCACCAGTGATAGGACTAAGTCCCCTTCCTTCAGTCCCTTTCAGGTGCTCCGCGGCTTCAGCGTGAACTAAGAGATTCGTGTTCACGGAGAGGTTGGGTCAGGTGATCAGTCTGATCCAGCCTACACTTGCGACTTGTCACTACTCCCAAATTTGGGCTCGGATCTTACTCAACAGAAATTACCTTTGTTGAGCATTTTAAATTTCTCTTGGGGAGACTTCTTCCATATCACTTTAAATACCATTTTTTTTTTTTTTTTTTAAACCAGTCTGGTTAAAAGGCCCTAGGCTTTGATGTCTCGGAACTCAGGATATTTGCTTTCTTTGTAAAAGACTTCTAAAGATACAATTTAAATTAAGGCTTTAAGTCAGGACATTTTACACGTAGTCTCAAAACAATGAACTAGATAAGGAGATAAATCCTATCTTCTTCCTGAAACTGGCTAATGGGCAACCTTTACAAACATTCAAACTATTTCATTCAATATGACATATTGGTTTTGTAGCATTGCACTTTGACATGATGCTTGAACTCATCAGTAGGATGCTACCATGAAATTACGGTGGCTTTTTGCCTTTCTGTTCAACACAATGTCAACCCTCTTTTGGCTCCTGAGGAGGACAGAGGCAAATGTACACATATAATATATAGGATAGAGGGAAAAATTGTTCTTTCCCCTCCCATCCCTGCTGTTGGGTTTTTGGAGAAATAGGGAAGTATTTGGTTTTTCATTAGGTCCATTCATGAGTGTTCATGCTGCCTTGTGTGAGTCACATAGACCAGCTCTCCTCATGCAGAAGCACTCTAACAAGAGCTACAGACCCAGGATCACATTGTAAGCACAAGATATCATCAAAAGGTTGCAGGGTTCCAAGTCCAGCAAAATGAGAAAGGCATGTGTTGTATCTTTATGTATTTTCATCTCCACCTTGTAACCTTTCAATTCCAAAATATACCCTTACTCCTGATAAGTGTCATAGAAGTAGTTTGTTTGCATTTGTTTTCAGGATGAATCAGCAGTATACCATGCTTTTTTGACTAAAAATGCTGAGCGGAGAGGCAGAAATGAACAAATACTTCTGTTTAGAAGAATAACTTCTCTGTGTTTGTTTTTTCCAGCTCATTCTTTCCACTTGGGAAGGAAGCTATAACTTACAATGTCAGAACCTTCACAGTGCAGGAGAAGCGGATGTCCGGGTGAGACATAAATCCAGCAACTAATGCAGTTCAGTAACTAATGCAGTGCTCTCTTCCTAGCACAAGCTTTTGGTGCATCATACAGAACTACTTAAATTTTTGGCATTTGTTTTCATGACCTTTCTTCTGTTTGTTATGTAGTGGGGTCCATCTGATCCATTTCATATATCCATGTTGGGAGTTGGACCTGATGATCTGTTTAGGTCCCTTCCGACCCTAGGCACTATGATACTATGATATTGCTCCTTACGTCTTATTAAAGAAAAAGGGGCAGGGGGAGGGGGTTGTTGTGAAAAAGTTGGTAACAAAAGCCTTATAGCCAGTAATGGTGTCCCTGAGAACGTTGTGCTGTTGTAATTTGTGAGAAAAAGGTATTGCATTTAATTCAAAACAGAAATCATTTGATACAAAACCCGAGGAAACCGACTACACGCATTTGGTGGGTTCAAACTAGAGACCAATCCAAAACCTGAACCTGGGGGAATGTTTGAATCTGAGTTTTGCACCCTAGAGCTCATGCCTTGTGCCGACTCCTCTTGTACAATAAGGTCAGTGCAGGCTGCATTCCTCTTGTTCCAGACTCTAAGCTCAGACTTTCCAGGTGGTTCACCACTCTTCCCTTTCACCCCAAACTGGGATGCATTTCCCTTTCTAAATGACACTTCTCCTTTCCCTCACTCCAGGAGACTACTTAAAAAAAACAAACAAAAAAAACAACAACCCAAAAAAAACCTTTTCTCCCTCTTGTCTTATTTATATTAAGGACACAGCAATATTAAAATATATTAACCTAAACCTATGGTATAAGTAGCATAATTTCAGTTAGCATAAAACTCTTAAGTGGAGAGCCTGCTTCCATATACCTGGGATTGAGATCTGGCAATAAATTATGCTAGCAGCTTATTTTCAGGAACTTTTGTGCCAGAGGACATTTAAAAAAAAAAGAAAATGCTGTCACTAACATAATGCATCATTAATTAAGCGTCACAACAGCAAAAATCTCCAGGGCTGTTAATCATAGGGGTGTGCAAAGCAGGCCCTCTTCAATTTGTATTCAGCCGGAATCAGGGACAGTGATTCGATTTGTTGATTCAGATCACTGTCCCCGATTCAGTTTGGCCGAATGCAAATCTGAAGATTTGATGCCGATTTGGAGAATCGGCAATTCGGACACAGACACAGCTTTAAAAGTTTTTTCTACATATCTTGAGGTAGCAGGCACGGCTCATGATTGCTGCAATGCTGGGGTGCATGGAAGAGTGTCCCACAGGAGTGTGGGGGGCCCTCCATGTGCTCAGCAGTGAACCCATGCTTCTGCTCCACTTCTGGGTCTGCCAGGGAGCGCGCTGGCCACCCCCACCCCGGTGCCTCTCCAGCTCGGCGATCAGCTGCAGGGGGACCCCAAGTGCCTCCTCCAGACCCAGGAGGCATCAGTCACCAAGCCAGGGGCATACGGGG